ACACCGGCCTGATGTCTAGCTCTGATACCATTTGTAACAGTCCAAGCCTACCGTTAGTAGATATTGTCTTTTTTAGGCTTTCTCTTCTGGGCTTCCCCTCAAGGTTTTAAAACGTGTCTGCTAGGGAGAGGTTTCCAGACCCTTGTAAGGAATGTTTTGTTCCCCTCTTCAACCAATGTGGGATCTTACCTGTTAGTTTACATGTACGGCTTACGAAATCTTTATCTATATTGAAATTTTTATGTTTTACAAGCTTCTATAATAGTTTTGACCCAATGTATAATATGAAATGATTTTCGGATTACAATATGTTTGCATTTGCTTCAGGTTACAGCTCAGACGTCCATCAACTTATTGGAGTTTTATGCGCCCACACCCTTTTCTTCTAACATCTCTTTAAAGCTGCATTCTATGCGCCAGAATGAACTTTCAACAAGTTTTAGTTCTTGGATGACGGTAAAAGAACCCGTTGGCATCTGGAGTGACAAAAGCTTCACTGTTAAGGGTATATTGGAGCATTTAAATGTTACAAAGGATAGTTCTGATTACCTTTGGTATTTGACCAGGTATTTCTTTTTTCATTTATTTGGTAAAATTGGAAGCACAATTCACATATGTTGGCTGATAATTAGAATAGAGATGAAAAACGTTCGCAAATATTGCTAGCTTACTTAATGTAGAAAATCAATTCATGATTTGTAGGGATTAGATTTCGCTTAACAATGGTTGCTTGGGTGTAGCAGCCTAAGCCCACTGCTAAGCAGATATTGTCTTATTTGGATTTTTCCCTCGAGGTTTCTAAAATGCGTCTGCTAAGGAGAGGTTTCCACACCCTTATAAAGAATGCTTCGTTCCCCTCTTCAACCGACGTGGGATCTCACAATCCACCCCCTTCGTGGCCTAGCGTCCTCGCTGACACTCATTTCTCTCTCTAATCAACATGGGAACTCACAATCCATCCCCTTTCGGGGCCCAACGTTCTCGTTGGCACACGACCCAGTGTCCACCCTGTCGGGGATTGACGTCCTAGCTGGCACACCGCCTGGTGTTTGACTTTGATACTATTTGTAACAACCCAAGCCCACCGCTAGCAGATATTGTCCTCTTTGAGCTTTCCCCTCAAAGTTTTTAAAATGCGTCTAGTAGGGAGAGGTTTTCACCCTTGTAAAGGATGCTTCATTCCCCTCTCCAACCGATGTGGGATCTCACAATCCACCCCCTTCGTGGCCTAGCATCCTCGCTGGCACTCATTCTTCTCTCTAATCGATATGGGATCTCACAATCCATCCCCTTTCGGGGCCCAGCGTCCTCGTTGGCACACCACCCAGTGTCCACCCCCATCGGGGATCAGCGTCCTCGCTGGCACACCGCCCGGTGTTTGACTTTGATACTATTTGTAACAACCCAAGCCCACCGCTAGTAGATATTGTTCTCTTTGGGCTTTCCCCTCAAGGTTTATAAAACGCGTCTACTAGGGAGAGGTTTCCACACCCTTATAAAGAATGCTTTGTTCCCCTCTCCAACCGATGTGGGATCTCACAATCCGCCCCCTTCGTGGCCTAGTGTCCTCACTGTCACTCATTCCTCTCTCTAATTGATATGGGTCTCACAATCCATCCTCCTTCGGGGCCCAGCATCCTCACTGGCACACCGCCCGGTGTCCACCCCCTTCAGGGTTTAGCATTCTTGCTGGCACACCGCCCGGTGTTTGACTCTCATACCATTTGTGACAGCTCAAGCCCACCACTAGCAGATATTGTCCTCTTTGGACTTTCTCCTCAATGTTTTTAAAATGCGCCTGCTAGGCGGAGGTTTTCATACCCTTATAAAGAATGCTTCGTTCGCCTCTCCAACCGATGTGGGATCTCACATTAGTTTGAAACTCACTCGTATCTCATTGGTTTGGTTTTATGATAAAGAACAATTACAAATAAAAGAAAGCAATTGATGCTTTATTAACACAATGTGCCTCAAGCCTTAGTCCATACATTAGGAGTGTGTTCAAATGAATATAAACAAATGACATTTTTGAGATTCATGATAAGTATGATTTTAATACATATCCCACGTTTATCTATTAATTTTTGTTACTTCACACTATGAGTTTGTGGAATACAGGATACATGTTTCCAGTGATGATATATCATTTTGGAAAGAAAGCAATGTTAGCCCAACAGTTACCATCGATAGTGTTCGGGATGTGTTTCGTGTATTAGTTAACGGGAAGATCGCAGGTGATCGAACATGATATCTTGCACTGTATTTGGTGCCCTGTTATTTCAATATTTTTCATGTTCTTGTCAAAATTTTAGATTTTTTAAGTAATGCATCAACTATATGAATATCTGCACTTTTGTGTTTTGCTCACATCTACTAATCATTTCTATATTTAATTTTTACTGTCATATGGAAGAAAAGGCAGCGCAATTGGTCAGTGGGTCAAGATTGTCCAGCCTGTTCAATTTGTTGAAGGATACAATGATTTGCTGTTGTTATCTGAGACAGTGGGTTTACAGGTAAAAATTGCACCTATAGCTTTCCTTAGTATCACGCTATTTAATATATATATATATATATATATATATATATATATATATATATATACATACACACATATTGAGATAAGGTCAATTTATGGCTCTCTTCGGGAAATTTTTTATTGAGGGAAGTGGATTGTGAGATCGCACATCGGTTGGAGAGGGGAATGAAACATTCTTTATAAGGGTGTGGAAACCTCTCCCTAATAGACGTGTTTTAAAACCGTGAGGCTGACGATGGTATGGAATGGGTTAAAGCGGGCAATATCTATTAGCGGTGGGCTTGGGTTTGGGCTGTTACAAACGGGATCAGAGCCAGACACTGGGCAGTGTGCCAGGCGAAGACGCTGGCCCCTAAAGGGGGTGGATTGTGAGATCCTACATCGGTTGGAGAGGGGAACAAAATATTCTTTATAAGGATGTGGAAACCTCTCCCTAACAGACGCGTTTTAAAATCGTGAGGCTGACGACGATACGGAACAGGCTAAAGCGGGCAATATCTATTAGCGGTGGGCTTGGGCTTGGGCTGTTACAAATGGTATCAGAGCCAGACATCGGGCAGTGTGCTAGTGAAGACGCTGGGTGTCACAATCGCGGTTTCTAGGCAGCGGATTTGGCGATTGTGCGGCACCCACTCTCAGCACTGAATGGGTCAAGCCTACTTTGAGTTACGTTGCCTGCGGTCAAGCAACGTGAATACAAACCTCGGGTCTCGATTTCAAGAGAAGATTTTAAAAAGCGCGGAAGAGAGGTTTTGGAAAGAGTTTTGAAAGCAAGAGAGAGAGAGATTGGTGTTATATGAGAATGTAAGCAAAAAAGGCAACAACAACGGCTTACTGCATATAACTATCGGGTAGGGAGAAGTTGACAACTAGTCGTATCCCCCTATAGTACATTTTAAGGCATTTCATGTCTACCAAGCGTAGCCATGACATCGTCGAAACGTCATATACTCTTAAAGAAAATAAGAAAGAAATAATACAACATGAAAGCGGTAAAAGAAAGTAATAAAGTAGTACAAGGCAAAGGTTTCGGCGTGTCACGGGCATGCGGCCTTGGACGACATGCCTTGGACAAGCATGACCGTGACACCGGGCCCCTAAGGGGGGTGAATTGTGAGATCCCACATCGGTTGGAAAGGGGAACAAAACATTCTTTATAAGGGTGTGGAAACCTCTCCCTAACAGACACGTTTTAAATCCGTGAGGCTGATGGCGATACGTCACAGGCCAAAGCGGACAATATCTATTAGCGGTGGACTTGGGCTGTTACAAGAAGCCTCGGGGCAAATCTAAGAGAAAGGTATTTAAGATGCCATCTTAGCATTGACCCGAACATTCAAGAATTTTCTCTTAGATTCAACACACATTTTAAAGCAAATTTCCTTTCAAGTTACTTATTTGCTGGCGATATATTGTTCATGGATCTTATATATTATTTGAATAAAATTTTATGTTATTGTAGAATTCTGGTGCCTTCATTGAGAAAGATGGGGCAGGTATCAGAGGCCGTATAAAGCTCACTGGATTAAAAAACGGCGATATAGATCTCTCAGAGTCCTTATGGACTTATCAGGTAACAACATTATGTTGTAATTACCAAAAACGACCTCAATTTAATTGGTTTAACCAATAAGTTTCGGTACTAGTTATAGTTTCACCACGTCCTTGACCCTGTTAATTTTTTTATGCCAATTCGAACATAACTAAGTAGATAAGACATTGACTATCATTTATCATTTAGAAGGTTGGTAGTTCAATCTCTCACCTAAATAATTTTTTTGTTTTGGCACCAGGTCGGGCTGAAGGGTGAGTTCTTGAAATTCTATTCGTTAGAAGAAAACGAGAAGGCCGATTGGACTGATTTGTCTGTCGATGCCGTTCCGTCTCCCTTCACGTGGTACAAGGTAGATATAACCACATGGCTTTATCAAAATTGTTGTTTATTAGACAAAATCATGGTTTTTTTTGCTTTTGTTGGACTCTTTGTTTTGAATTTTTGTTTACAGTGTTCCCATTTGGTCTGATTGATGCTATAGGGGTTTTGCTATATAGTTCCTCTCTCTCGAACTTCCTTTCTCTCAGGTGGTTAATGAGGAAGGAGGGTAGAATGACCAAATTACCCCTCCGGGGTTGACTTTGACCATTTTTCTTTTGTACTTTTCTTGAGTCTGTGGGTCTTTTCCAGGTATTTCTCTCGATAAAATCCCAGAAGTTTGGACTCGATAGGAAAAACCAAGTCTCTAATACCTCGTGGGGACTCGGGTGTTATAGTTCTGCTCGGGGAAGCTTTATTTTGCCTATATTTCTTTTCTTGTGTATATGTATGGTCAGATAGATTTTGGGATAAGAGAAGAATCTTGTGGCAAACCTGTTCGTTTGTTATCTTGTGAGGAGCGTGGTATGCTCGTCCAAGGCGTGTTGCCCATGGCCGCTGCATGCCCATGACAAGCCAAACCCTTTATGTATTTTCATATTCTAGTGTTTTACTTTTGTATTTCTAGGAAGTACGACGTTTTAGAAATATCATGTTTAGGCCTGCCAGACATGAAATGCTTTAGAATGTAATATAGGGGGATACGACTAGTTGTCAACTTCTCCCTACCCAAGGTTATATATTGTGAGCCGTTGTTATTTCTCTCTTGCTTGCTTATATAACGTCTCTTTCGAAAATCTCTCTCTGCCATTGTTTTCTAAAACCTTCTCTTAAAACCGAGGCTAGAGGCTCGAGCAGACGTCGCTTGGCCGTAGGCGACGCAAGAACGAATTGGCTTAGCTCACTTATCGTTGGAAAGTGAGTGCCGCACAATCCCAAGTCCGCTGCCATCAAGAGTGTGATTGTGACACGTGGCTGGAGAGGAATGGTAGAATTTTTTAGAGGGGTGGAGAGTTCTTTGGAGGAGGGGTGGGAGGTTGCGAGATTTAATGTGTCTTTATGGGTGTGCCTTGATTGAACCTATAACAGCTCAAACCCACCACTACTAGCAGATATTGTCGTCTTTGGGCTTTCCCTTTCGGGCTTCCCCTCAAAGTTTTTAAAATGTGTCTGCTAAGAAAAGGTTTCCACACTCTTATAAAGAATGCTTCGTTCCCCTCTCTAACCGACGTGGGATCTCACGTAACCTTTTTATCATTATCTATTTGGTCTTGTTCTTTTGCTTTCATTTGTCTCGATGAAAGCTTAGTTTCTTACCAAAAGAAAAATGGTTAGAAATTCACTCCTTTCCTTCTGGTGTAGGCATACTTCAGTTCGCCCGACGGGACCGACCCGGTCGCTATCAATCTAGGAAGCATGGGAAAGGGACAGGCTTGGGTCAATGGTCATCATATAGGTAGATACTGGACCGTGGTTGCCCCGAAAGATGGCTGTCCCAAAAAATGCGACTATCGTGGTGCTTATAATTCAGGAAAGTGTGCTACAAATTGCGGTCGGCCGACACAAAGCTGGTATGTCCGCACTTACTGTATAGCTCAAAGAAGCCAAATTATGTTTCAATAGTGAAAATGTTTTACTTTGTATCGTTTATGGCATCTTTTAGGTACCACGTTCCGCGATCATGGTTAAAGGAATCGAACAATTTACTCGTCCTCTTTGAGGAAACTGGAGGAAATCCGCTCGAGATCGTCGTGAAGTTGTATTCAACTGGAGTCGTCTGTGGTCAGGTCTCGGAGTCCAACTATCCACCTCTAAGGAAGTTGTCTGCTGATTATACATCTGATGGAGAAATTCTTTCGAGCGGAACGAACCCGGAAATGTTCTTGCATTGTGACGATGGCCACGTGATCTCCTCGATCGAATTTGCTAGCTATGGAACTCCTCAAGGAAGTTGCAAGGAGTTCTCTAGAGGCCGCTGTCATTCAACCAATTCTCTGTCTGTTGTTTCCCAGGTAAGTTGTCCTTGTTTGATATTTCAATAGAATTCTATGTCTTATAATGTAATGGTCAAGTCTACCGCTAGCAGATATTGTCTTTTTTGGTCTATTACGTATCGTCGTCAGCCTCACGATTTTAAAACGCATTTGTTAGAGAGAGGTTTCCACACTCTTGTAAGGAATGTTTCGTTTCCCTCTCCAACCGATGTGGGATCTCACAATATCATCTAAGGAGGTAGATTGTGAGATCTCACATCGATTGGAGAGGGGAATGAAACATTTTTTACAAGGGTGTGAAAACTTCTCTTTAAAAGACGCATTTTAAAACTGTGAGGCTGAGAGCGATAGGTAACGGGCCAGAGCAAACAATATCTGCTAGCGGTGGGCTTGAGTTGTCACACGTGACAATTTTTTTTACATATAAATTGCTATCAAAACGTGCTCTTACAAAAATTGGGTGTAATATGAAGTAAATAAGTGTTCGGTAAATTTCGAACTTAAACGTCGAAAAGTAGGATAAAATAGGAAATATTAAGAGTTTTCGTTAAACGAGCTGCCAGATCGTTCAGGAAATAAATATCAAAAGCTCCTGTGGCCTGTGGGGTTCAATAATATGCTTTTCAGCTTGTATCCATAGTAAGTAAACCTGACAAGTTTGTTTTTTTTTTAACCTTCACAGGCTTGTTTGGGTAAAAATAGTTGCACAGTTGAAGTTTCAAATTCTGCATTTGGAGGTGATCCATGTCGTAGCATTGTCAAGACACTAGCGGTTGAGGCTCGATGTAGTTCGACATCAGGTACTCGTTTATCTGCTTGAAATGAAAAGCAGCTAACCCGAGCGACGTAATTGAGCTTCATGGCCCCTCCATTCTCTTTATGTAAGTATGTGTTTATGCATTTTCTATTCTGCCACTACGGTATATACCTAACTCGTCGATATCGTCTTCGTTGTAAATTTGTAAAAGATCTCAATGCATTGAATAAAATGAGAACCAAAAGAAGATCAACTGTCTCTTTTATAAGTTTGAGATTGATTGAGTCAACATCTTTTGTTCCTTTTTTGGATTATCATTTGAATATAACTAAACAATATAAAGTTGAGATCTCTTATATATATATATAAATGTTGAAGATGAGTGCAAGATTTAACATTTTTCTTATAAAAGTACTTTTCATGTTTTGAGTTGCTTGTCGAAGTATTGGGGATGGGTCGACATCAGCCACTAAAGCCAATAAATTGGCCTAATTCGTCGATAGATAGTTAAATGTTCAAATCCGTTCACTTTGAAGGTTGAGTTTAGAGTAACTCATTGAGTTAGAGACAACTTTCATCTGACAAAAAAATTTGGCTCATAGCTTCATATTCTAATTACTTGCTTCTATAAATAAGTAAATAAGTAAATATTAAATTACAATTAGTTTCGATTTTTGAGGCCTCAAGCGCTTTCTTCACTGAGCATATGATTGTCTTGCCCACTTTGCCACTAGACATGTGCATTTTTTAGGCCTCAAACGATTTCCTCATTGAGCATATGATTGTCTCACCCACTTTGTCACCAGACATGTACATTTTTGAGGTCTCAAACGCTTTCCTCGTTGAGTATATGATTGTCTCGCCCACTTTACCACCAGACATGTGCATTTTTGAGGCTTCAAACACTTTCCTCGCTGAGCATAGGATTGTCTCGCCCACTTTGCCACCAGGCATGTACATTTTTTAGGCTTCACGCACTTTCCTCACTGACATAGGATTGTCTCGCCCACTTTGCCACCTGACAACTTCCTTTTGATATTGAAAAAGCAGCGGGGCCTCAACATGTTTGAATAGGGTCCATTAAGTGTGAGTGGAAGACATTGGTTCACATTCCTCAAAGTCCAGGTTTTAATTGTTAATAGAAACCTAACATGTCGTGTAAATTTTTACCAAAGAAGCTTTGCTTAATTCAACATTGTAGTGTGTTTGCCTATTTATAAAAGTACATCCATTGAACTAAAATGAGTTCGATGCCGTTAAATTGGTGAATAACCACTAGAAATAGGAAAAACAACAAGAACTTCACTAATAATATGCAAAATAATAATAAAATGGTAATTTCACAAATTCATCTATGTAGAGCCAATAAAAGTAAAAATAGGATTTGAAACCAATCATTCTATTTCAAGGAATACTAAATGACAAATACACTTAAAATCAATCAATCAATCTAAGTTTGAAATCACTCAAAATTCTAACTCCTCCAGAATGGTTATCGATTCGTACCTGCTGGAGGTTTCCATTAGACGACAATTTCTCATCATTTTCATTCCTTACTGGAAGAACAAAAACTTCCCCGCAGTCACTTTCCCCATGGAAAACAGCAACATTTCTGTACCAAAGGCAAAGAATAAATCACTAAACTTTTACCAACTCCGTAGAAAATATTTAAGGAAAAAAGATTTTTAACTTTTTTCACCTAAAAGTTTGCATAAAATGGCTAACACGTGCTCAATTGTGGTGAAAAGGTGTTGAGAACACGACAATTGTTGTGGTTGAATCACCGAACCCAAAAATTTGTTTTTGCAAGATATCAAAGCAAGAGATCGAGTAATCAAGTAACAAATATTAAATTTATTGTAATCTATTGACTTGGATTTAAGGGAAAGATTAAATTTAAGTCCTCAATAAGGGAAAGATTAAATTTATTGTAATCTATTGACTTGGATTTATGTACCTTAGAATTTTCGGCATCGGATCGATTACGACGGTCAGCATGAGAAATGTTAGTCCCCACCGGAAAACCTCCTTCTTCCTCAGTTTGTCTCTCCTCACGTACTCTGGTGAAAATACTTGTGTAGTTCTCAGACGATGTTGGATCGCTCTCATCCCAGTCACCAAATCTTGGAACTGTGGGGCTACGATCAGGCTGCAAGCTCAAACATAAGAGATCATGTCATTCAAAGTCATGAATCATTTGATTTCAGCAAATTCTAGGCAGCTTTTGTTTAAAAGACCTGATAATACCTAAAGAACAAATCTGGAAATTAAGACACTCAAAACACCATTTTCTTTATCAACCTTTAGCTGGTTGATTGTTACTGAAATCTTTTGATGACTCTCTACTTGTGCAATTAAACACAAAGAAAAGGAAATGAGAAGAAGAAACTACAGTTTCAATGCCCCGAGGAGCGGATTGTTGACGTGATCTTCCAGGAGTCAAGGGAGTTACACCATCATGACAACCTCCTTTAGGTGAGCTTGAACCCCTACGGTCACGTAACGGCGAAGATGGTACAACGCTTTTTGCTTCGGTCCTTGGATGCTGTCGTGTTTGGAGAGATGGATTTTCTATGTTGCCATCAGAAGCTGCGCCATTTCTCACAGTGGCCGTGTTGTTCCTCTGGCGTTGATGAAGAGGGGAGTTAAAGCTAACGTGACCCCTTGTTCGATGGTCCAAAGGAGATTGAAGGCGTTTTTTCGTGTTACCATCTTCCAAGCTCAAATCTTCTTGTGTGTACTTTTGCCTTAATGCTTGTTGACCCCGACTCGTGGTTGATTTTAAACTGTCATGATCTTGACCAGGCAGTTCTGAACCATCCCGGTGCAATGGAGACTCGGTTTGCCTCCTCACAACACCTTCTCTAGTTTCCTGTCGCTCCGAAATCTCTTCTCGGTGAGAAGGATCATTTAAATTCAACCTCTCGGATTTAGCCTTTGTTGCATTGTCAAAATAGGTTGTATACGGGACATCCTCCCCATCATCCCACTTCCCAAATTTTGGTACTTGCAAACTCTGCTGCAGGGGAAGATGAAAATGTCTTTCATTCTTACTAAATCATTTTCAGTGGACCAACCATAAGCAAAGAAACTAGATTCATGGTTCTAAACTGGATTGAATTCATGCATATTCTAAAATTACATGCAACACAAATATGATCCTCCTCCAATTCATGCAGATTCCTGCAACTTCTCAAAACTTCCGGTAAGGAATTTCCTTATAGTCCCTAAAAGCTAGATGGTAACAAATCTATGAAAAGGTTACAAAACCATCCATGTGAAAGAAAATGACGATATGCAATCAGCACGTATTGTTTTACCTTCGAAGCATACAACTTTATATACATAAACCAAATTCAAAACTCATGAAAGATGAGCTTGCTCATGGTGGAAACCAAGGATAACCATCTTCTTTCAGGCTGTCAGCCATGACATTAAAAGCAATACCAATTACTTACCATAGTTTCTGAATAGTATAGTATCAAATTCGTGTTATTACCGTGATGGTACCGCCTACGAATTGTGTATCAATAAGATTTCCCACATGAATCAGAACAATAAACATGGGCATTGGACATCTTAAAGGAATTCTTGGAGTGGAAATGGTCTCTTCTTTATGACAGGAGAAACGGGCTTGACTGAATCTTTGACGAAGTCTTAGAAAGACAGAACTAATTACTTTTTCTTTAAAAAGTTCAGTAAGATACATAATGTGTTCACAAGACCCAGTCATGGAAAGAGAATTAAAAGTAGCCTACAGGTTGAACCCATTAATTAAGGTAAGCTAGAGAAGAGAAGGTCAAATCAGTTCTAGACTCCAAGATAGTCAGATCAACGACGAAATAACGAGCTTGTTCATCTCTGAACTCGACACCAATTGAATATGATTGTACATTGTATACATCCATAAACAGCCAGAACACAAGAAAAGCGAAAAAAGAAAGATCAAACATGCAAAATAGCACCAAATCCTCCAGAAATTCCAAGATTGCACCATCTTGAAAGCCTCAACCATCATAAAAATATGCATATAAAGTTCAAAGATGAGGCCAAAACATAGATATCAATAGTTCGCAACTTATAAATAAGATGACGAAGAAATTCAGTAAGCTCCATCGCTTCAGAACCAGTCAAGAACATGGCAATCACAAAATAACAAACGAAGAGAATGTAGAGAACTTTCGAAAACTCACAGCCATTAGCCTAAGGACAAGGCTAGAAATCTCGAAACTGTACTCCCAAATCAAACCGAGCAACCTATTTTAACTTCTTCCAAGTCCAACCTGCACAGCAGAAGTTAAAACAAACAAAAATTGGCCACAATAAGCGAAAGCGACGGCCATAATAGAAGCAGATACAGAGCACTGGCATGAAAACGATCAACCAATTAGCTAAAGAAAAGCAAGCTTCCATGAAATTAATGACTTACTCAGCGACATTATTGACTCGAAAGTCAAATTCTCGAAGTAGGACCCGAAACATGATCCAAAATTAATGTGAAAACCCTCTGGAAATCGAATAATATTGCAATTGGAAGACGGATCTGTAGAATTTCATAACCTTTTTTAACGGAAGCTTTTGGTGAACTGAAATGAAAAAAATTGGGGAGAAGAAAACGATTTGACAGCAACATTTTTCACTCCACTTTCTGGAGCAAAAATTTTGCATCATTTTTCACTTTTTAACTAAATCTTTTGGAGAAATGAACACAAAGAAGAGAGAGAGAGTATCGAAAAATGGAAATGAACAAGATGAGGTCAGCGCGATGACGAATGATTGAAGACGAAGAACTTCACTACCGGAGAACTCAAATCATCAGACAGTGACCCTTCCATCGCCCCCATTAATAGTGCACCTCTCACAGTTTTCTATATTTAAATACTTCTTATTCTTCTTATATACTTATGATTTACTTTATTTTTATTTTTTAAAATGTCCATTTTAATTATTGTATTTTTTAAATTCGATTTAGTATTTTTTTTTCATTTTTCAATTATAATTTGAACACACACTTCATTGTTAAAATGGTTGAAAAATATCTATAACTTTAATTTCTCTAGTTGGATGATGAGAGTCCCACCTCAGCTAATTTATTGGAGGATGAAAGTCCCACATTTTAGGGAATGATGAGTTTATAATCAAAGAATCTCTCGTATATGAGACCTTTTGAAGAAGCCCAAAACAAAGACATGAAAGTTTATGCTCAAAGTGGACGAGACCTTTTGAAGAAGCCCAAAACAAAGACATGAAAGTTTATGCTCAAAGTGGACGAGACCTTTTGAAGAAGCCCAAAACAAAGACATGAAAGTTTATGCTCAAAGTGGACAATATCACGTGGATCTTTTGGAGAAGCCCAAAGTAAAGACATGGAAAGCTTATGCTCAAAGTGGACAATATCACGTGGATCTTTTGGAGAAGTCCAAAGCAAAGACATGAAAGCTTATGCTCAAAGTGGAGAATATCATGTGGATGGTCGTGTTCATCTAACAACTTTATTTAATTTTAATAATGATATAAAAAAATGTTAATTTATTTTGTTTCAACTCTTATTTTATTTATTTTATTTTTAATAACCATATCATTTAATATAACATTGAAGGTTAGTTTTTCTTGAAATGAATAATTATTTATGTATTTCATTCTCCATTTAATTGAAAATTATATGGGAAACTTTTACTTATAAATTGAATAATTAAGAATCCATAGTAAATGTTAAATGTTAAAAGATTTTAAATATTTATTCAAAATCCAAACATATAAAACAACACTAGTTTTCGTTACAGAAGAAAACATTCAGTGAAATATTATAAAAAATTAAATCACCAAATTTGGAAAGTCTTCCAAGATCTTCTACTTCTTCGACTATGATCGATTTTCGATTTGAGACCTACAAAATTGGTGAAAGAAAAAAAGCCAACCCTTTACAATCGAATAATAACCAAGCAAAGTAAAGAAAACAAAAACGTAAAACCAAATCCGTATTCTAAATCTATCGAGTTAGAACTGAGTCAATTTTGAGTGCATATAAGAGCCCTCAACTCAACGAAGAACTAGACGAGCCAACTATATGTCATCTAGTACTAAATGTTGAATCTACAATCGATACCAAAATTTTCAAAAGATCTCTACTTATATGCAACGTCCTAGCATGCCAAACTAATGGATCATGTCTAACATCATTACATAAATGATAAAAATGGGAGACGTTCGAATCCTCATTGGAGATGAAAAGGTGAAACTTAATCAAGAGATGCACATGAACATGGTTTAGCCATTCTAGTAGGAGATGTACATTAATGATAAAAATGGTAGATGTTCGAATAATTGATCAAGCCTAGTATCATTACATAAACGATAAAAATGGTAGATGTTCGAATCCTCATTGGAGATGAAAAGGGAAACCTTAATCAAGAGATGCGCATGAACGTACTTTGGCCATTCTAGCAGGAGATGCATATGAATGATAAAGATGGTAGATGTTTGAATTCTCATTAGAGATAAAAAGATGAAACCTTAATCAAGAGATGCGCATGAACGTACTTTAGCCATTCTAGCAGGAGATGCATATGAATGATAAAAATGGTAGATGTTTGAATAATTGATCATGCCTAACATCATTACATAAACGATAAAAGTGGTAGATGTTCAAATCCTTATTGGAGATGAAAAGGTTAAACCTTAGTCAAGAGATGCGCATGAACATGCTTTAGCCATTCTAGTAGGAGATGTACATGAATGATAAAAATGGTAGACATTCGAATAATTGATCATGCCTAATACCATTACGTAAACGATAAAAATGGTAGATATTTGAATCCTCATTGGAGATGAAAAGCTGAAACCTTAATCACGAGATGTGCATGAACATGCTTTAGCCATTCTAGTAGGAGATAAAAATGGTAGACGTTCGAATAATTGATCATGCCTAACACCATTACATAAACGATAAAAATGGTAGATGTTCGAATTCTCATCGGAGATGAAAAGATGAAACCTTAATCAGATAAGCATGAACGTCAGGGTCATGAACCAAAAGTTTTCTAAGCAAAAATGCAAATCATTGAAATCTTAACGATGGAAGTAAGATCTCATCCCCCTAGCATTTCCATGATAAATTTAAATCTAAAGAAAACATATAACTTACTGTACATTACAATAATTTTTAAAAGTAAATGAGCTTACTTCTTCAGTGAAAATGCTAGCTTTTTACTTCAGACATCTGATCTTCTTTGTAGCATCAACTATGCTTTGCCTGATTTCTGGGTGTTTCAGATTTAAAAGTTTCTCAAGCTGAAGAGCTGATTCATTGAAGAGAGCCTCCTTTATACAGAACTCTGAAGGAAGAGCAAAAAGCACTTCATTCACTTCTTCCTCGAGTTGAAGGGAAAAGAGGTGATTAAAGACCTGCACAAGAACACATTTAGATGCAATTGAAAATAAACCTTAAATACATGCCTAGTCCAGAATGTTTGTACTCACTCCTTTCATTCTTGAGACAACCATATCGTTAATGGTCGGAGATCGTGTGACCAAGTTTACAATAAAAATACCCTGCTCGGAGAGGGCGTCTTTCACTGCTAGAAGAAACGGTTCTTCTACAAAATCAGCTGCTGGGCAGGTCATTCCAGAGCTACACAGGTCAGAGAAACAATGAGAGTCTACACGTGAATGTTATCGAACCTTTGTTTATCTTTTTTCAATTTGCACAATTGGTTGTCTTGTTTTGAAGTTTTCTTCCCATTATAGCTAATATAGGTTTTGTATGAGAGGGGGTTCTACGGTAGGGAGTATGGTGCTATGATTGAGGAGGTGCTCCTTGATCCCCACAGTGGGGCAAGGGAAGAATTTTGTGGCAGTCTTGTTTCTTGTGTTATGAGAAAGCTCGAGAGGAAGATCAATCCTAAACCTATGGATCGTTCCTTTTTCTAATATACGAAATATGATCGATTTTGTTTGCTAGTGTGACGAAAAAGAAAGAAAAGCACTTCCGGCCCAGGGATGTCCTCACACGGAGAGTTTGCCCCCCAGATATGTTTGCCATATATCAAGGTGGAAGATGGAATCGGGGCAGTTGGCTGCAGAGCCTGATGCAAGCCATCCCCAAGTGGAATTCATATTTCAGTAGAACTCGGGAGAGGTTTGACTATTCCAAATTCACTGTTCTGGAGTGTTGGTCTGTTGGTCGAGATAGGTTGGGTAGGCCCAAGGGAAGAATTTTGTGGCAGTCTTGCTTCTTGTTATGAGAAAGCTCAAGAGGAATATCAGAATTTTGTGTGGGATTTTTATTTTATTTCATTTTTGTCCTAGTGCCTTCTTTCAAATTCTCAACGAAGGCTTAGTTTAAAGAGGGAGAGAATAAAAAAAAGACAAATATCACACAAATTATAGTCCAGACTACCTTGAGTCTGTTGCATCCACGTCGATAATAAGTATGTCAATCTTCGTATCTCCTCGATGTTTTACACGAGATGAGTTTCCATTGTCGAGAACAATTGCTGATGAATCCTTTGCCCCAGAATTTCTGAATTCTCTAACAAACTGAATCCCATCAGCAATATGAACCTGAAATATCAACGGATAACCCTCGTTCTTATACATGAAAGTGCAGTGTAGAAAAGTTTCAGAATAAATCTAGATGGCTCTAAATCAAAGCCAAGTCAAAATATGCACAGGATTGACATTTACGACATGGCAGAATGCATTCAGAAATAGCAACTCCGCTGCATTTCTGTAGAGAACTTGAAGAAATGAAGTAAAAAGAAAAAAGAAAATTCATTGCATGGATGAAAGTTATGAGGCAGTGCTTGCGTAGCTTGATCTGAATAAATAAATTTAGATTTCCTTATAGGATGCACTAAAAAGATTAAGTTTACCTTAATCCTATAGTTTAAAGTTTTGGGTCTAGTGATAGTTTAACGCACTTCATAGAAGAGGTTTTGTGCTCAAACTCCTTTCGTGCTAATTTTCCCGAACGAATATCGATAATACACTAATTTCGCATCACAATCTAGTTCCCTAAGTCATAGGTGATGGAGGATGTTAGAAATATACTACAAAGATGAGATGTATTTTACCCCATCAGCTTAAATGGTGGCAGTTCTACACCATCAGCTGATGTTTCTTACATGAAAACCAAGACTTAGACCAAACTTACTCCAAAGACATTAGACAAATACCAAGTATAGACTGTTAAGAATTAAGAGTTAAAAAAACATTATGTCAGCTAGCAAAAAAGTAACATAGGTGTAGCATGAATACCGTCAAATCTGCATCCTCAGTAAAATCGAAGTAATCCCTTGCAAGTTTGAGAATTGTTGAATCCAACTCAACCACCTGGATCATTTTACACTTATCACAATTTAAGAAAAAATTCACCATGTTTTAAGGGGGTAGGGGAGAAGAATTACCTCAATGTGTAAAAAACACATGCATGCACGGAGGAACATGGGCAGCAAACCTGCTCCAAGACCAATGACAGCTGTATTCACCTGTCAAGAACAGCTAGTTAAATTCAGTCGAAAAGGGAAAGAAACAAGAGAGGAAGGCATACATACAAGACATAGATAGAAGGAGCGGACCTCTACATAATGCTTTGTTTACATCAAAGAAAATTGAGAAGTGGTTATTCAGGTTAAGATGACTCTTTTTTAAGCAATTAGAAAGTCACTCCAAATAGAACCTAAATTTCCACCATCAAACTTCTCTAACAGCTTAAAACTTGATTCCATGAAAAAACAAATAATGCATTAGTTGAAAAAATGATTGTAGAAAAGTGCACGTTTGCATTGCACTTTCAATGTAGGAAGAGATCATAGAAGGATCAAAGACAGTGAACTTGCCGTTGTTCC